ATAACGTTATTGTTAGGAGATAAAATTAAGAAAAAGAACTAGTTATGTGCCAAAAAGATTAAAATTAACTTACGCTAATAGATAATTATTTAGTGCTTCCATCGCGCAGATCTACTTTGTTAAATGTCTCACTCGCTCGTTAATTTTGGCTATTGAGTGTTTGGCGACATTACAAGGATTATTTATATGTGATGTTCAGAGGGGATGAAAATTACGAAAATCAAAAACCGTACTCAGAGTTACCTCAGCGATTCAGTGATCAGATAGTATACACTTTCATAAGTTGAACAGTTTTGTCGATTATTACCAATATATGTAAACACGTCATACCATCTTCTTGAAGCCCATATCGCTCTACTGTGTTCTCGGTTTCAGATAACGCGAATGAGTGAGTTTCATTGATTTACAATTGTTATGAGTATTATTTATAATGTCTACAGTATTTTTATAACAATACTTTGATTTAATCACATCTAATTGTCTGTTCCTATTATTTTTAGCATTATAAAAGAATAATATTTAGTATTTCGAAAAATATACGACTACCTTTTTGTTTCTCTATATCTAGATTTGTTAAGCGGTATTTTATTTATTTTTACCGTTATATTCAGGGAGATTGAGATCCTTGAAGCGAGCGTTGCATCGTGTCTCACGTGCAGTGTGACCGTGTGGTTCGCATTCAACAAAAACACCAGCGTTTCTCGCGAAAAAATGGAAATCTCAATAATTCCATACGAATGATCAGCGTTTAACAAAAAGCAAAACAAAGCAAAAAAAATGTATAAGCGTACGATTCGCATGGATGCTCATGTCGGCAAACAATGAGATACGGACAAAATAAAAAATCTTTGCGATTTCCGCGTACGAAAAATATGCGCGCTCGAGCGCATATAACAGCAGAGGTTGTTTCAGAGGCGAATAAACAGAAAAAGGGAGACAGAGAGATAGAGAGAGAGAGAGAGAGAGAGAGAGAGAGAGAGAGAGAGAGAGAGAGAGCGTTCGCCTTGTTATTGGATCATAGCGTGCGGATGTTGTTTTCCTCGGCGATGAGAAAGAAAAATTACGGAGAACACTACTGCCACTCATCGGCACTTATCAGCCATATTTGAGTAATCAAACGAATCGTAAGCGAGTTCTAATCGAGCGATCCATGCATATGTGGCAATAAGGTTTTTGGAAGAGGTAAATGCCGCGAGAGTGCGGCGCGCTAAAAGCTTGCTGATTTAATTTTCAAAAAACAAGCTTTTACGGAGCTGCGATGCATCGGTGCTTTTAGTTGCCCTCCTCCCCTCCCCCACACACTCCCCTTTCCTACGCCGATAAACGTAATTTTATGATATATTTTGAGAACGATCAGCAGTGGTAAGCGCTTATATTCAACGTAATATTTCAGCTTCGTACGCGCTTACAACATTAAATTACCACTTTGGCGGAGGTGCTTAATAACCTGAAAATCTGAGAAATACATCCCGGGGAGGGGGGCATATACGTACTACTTGCGCTCGGTCGGTCTTCCTAAGAGGATTTCCCGCAAAATCGAGGGACGACGTAACGCACTAGGTGCAACCGCGTGTGGGATTGACTTTTAATTTGCCAGAACGGGTGGCTCTCGTCGGTGTAAACGGTCGAAGTTACAACACGCGTGTATTCGGGAATATGCATTACAATGTACTGCTCGATTGACGGGAAAACTGATTTGTCATTTTCATAGAATTGGTTCGCGCACTTGCTGCGAAAGTATTTTAGATGTCAAAAATTCCAAATATACCATAAATTTGCTCGAGGTTTTTAAATGAATAAAACAAAAATTGTATAATTATAATTAAAGAATTTTATTGTATATATTGTAAATTCAAAGATATCTCTTGGCTTATAAAATAGATCATTAAAGAAATCTGTTAGATCAGGTTAACTTTGTTATTCGATCACACTAAATTAGTATTAGATACTGCAGCCCTCGCTTTCGATAATAATACTAATACACAAGTTAAAATTCACAATTGATTTGTATTTAAAAAATACATTGCTATTTTTAGCTTATGGATAATTGTTAAATAATATACATCAAACATCAAAATCGAACTGAAATAATACTGTTTATAAAAAATAAAATAGACACAACAGTAATTTAGTCGGCAAAATCGCAACAATAACATTTAACACACAATTACACTGAAACAAGAAAGTTACGTAATAGATTTATATATGTGCGGGCAACATTCTTAAAATGAGTCCACACACTCAATCTTACGCGCTGGAAATGCACCTAAACGCTCATTTTTAACCCTTAAAGCCGTTCGAGGAAAGCGAACACGCAGCGCAACAACTTTGCGCGTAAATGCGACCATCCTCATTAGTTTTAATTCCGTAGGATGCGCTCTACTCGTCTTAACCGAAAAATTAGTGTCTTGCGTCCATTTAACAGCCTTTGCTCTCCCAGAGGAGATCATCCTTTTTTACCCGTTTTTTTTTTCTTCCGTTTTTTCACTTTTTCTCTCAAAGTAAAGTCATTTCGTGCTTGCAATCTAAGTTAAGTGACTTTCGAAAAAGAGAACGCGAACACGTATACTCTTGTGTCCTATTAACTTTCTTTCTTTTTACTCAACGATGTTTAATTCTTCGAGAGGAGTCGGATTTTGTCTTTGCTTTTAATTCCCGTACGAGCTTGCTGCCGATATTTATACTGGCCTGCACGAAAAAAGATGCTGTTGGGGTAGAACAATCGATTGCTGGGAATTATAGGACGATCTTTTGTGAGCGAAGCAGCGAAAAAAAAGAGAATTCGGTAAATTGCCCAAAGTATTTTACCGCGCCCAATTTTCGACTGCAGGTTTATACGGGTGACAAAGATAAGCTCTCCCTCATTCTCGAAATGGAGGTTTTCCGGATCGCTGAATCGAATGTAATTCTATTCAATATCGAAATCATTGTCAATTTTCGAGAAGAAAAAATTTAGCTGGGCTAAAGTTAGAACAAGAAAATTTATTCAATGACATTTATTGGTTGATATTTATTCGAATGACTTCAAATGTAAAACGATGACCGATTAAATGTCCGAAAGTTAATAGTTACTTTCAGTAGATCATATCAACGTGTGATGATCCACATTAACCATTTTCCTTTTTCTTTGATTACTCTTCCTGCTTTTTACGCTCCCTAATTACCGTAGAAAAAAATGTTGCTTCATAGTAACTTTTTCTGCAAGAAAATAGCTTGGAGGGATGTAACGATGCACTAAAGGTGGCCAGCTGCCTGTAAAAATGCCTTTAACCTTTGTGTGTAACAGGCATGAACCAAAAATCGTTTTTTTTTCATATAAGTCTGCAGATCCGTGACTTTCATGACTTTATCTTTTAATGAAGAATACTCCACTCGAAGAAAATTAAAAAATTTTTACATAGATGTCTATTTACTTTTGTTAACAGATTTCGTTCAAGATAATTAACATCTTTTTCAAAAAGCTGTTCCTTACAATGCTTTCTATTGAAATACGTATGTTTTCCCTACAACGCTAAGAAATATATGGCGAGTTTTGCGGCACATAAGTGGGCTCTTCGAATAGAAGTTCCCTCGTACAATCCTACCTCGCAGATGAAAAGAACAAGCAATCTAATCAACTGGTTTACCTCTTTCTCTCCCTTTCTCTCTCTCTTCTCTTTCTCTCCCTTTTCTCTCTTGGCAGGTAGTTCAGCTTCGCATTCATTTCAACTTCATAAAAATAAAAGAAAAAACACTTGCATATAGAGAGCGAGAGAGAGAGAGAGAGAGAGAAAATTCTACGCGCCGCAACTGTACTTGCAAGCAAAAGTAAGTCCTCGAGCGTGCGCTCCTTTTGCAAATATCTACTATCTCGTGCTCGCTCCATAAATCCTCCTTTTCCACAAATAAATCAGCTGACATACGCACGCGCGAGCATGCAGCTTGCAATTAGATAAACGCTGGAGCAAAAATTTATGCGCACAAGGAAGCGATCACGCAGCAGCAGTTGACGTTGGCTATAAATTTTCGAGTGAGAGAGATTCAACAGATTGACAAGGTACTGCCGCGATTGTCGAGCTTAATCTGAGCTACCCCCGAGCTGCGAATGTAACAAGACTTAATCCTTTTATTCGCGTACGGATTAATAAATTCTTGTCGAGCAAACGGATTGTGTGCAGTATTTGACGTTCTGAAAACATTTTTGCTATTTTATTTTGCTAGGTAGGATCTTTTTTTTACTCGCGAACTTTGTACGTGATTACGGGGAAGAACAATAATAAGCTTCTGAATGTATAGTGGAATTGAAATAGCTGCAGAAATTTTAATTAACTTCGGAACATTGGGATATTCGAATATGTTTGATTTTATTTTTAATGCAACAATGAAATCAATGATAGATAAAAAATATAGATAAATGGAAGGTCAACTATTGAATTAAAATCATACGTTCAATCAAAATATATTTAAATAATTTTTAAGAAAAAATTTTCATCGCGAGAAAATTTAATCTATTTTTATAAGGCGTTTCAAATTACTAATTATAAGTCATCCTGTTGATTCAGTTAAATGTGATTTGCATCACAAAACAATTAACGAGGATAAGTATACCTGCTCTTCATAGATTTGAATTGGATGCGATATCCAGAATTCAAAAATAACCATAAGTATTAACGAACTTTTACGGTATTCCCATCAATCACAGAATACAATTCCCAAGAAGTTATATCATAAAAACAACAGTAATTCAGGTTCAATATTACTTCACTCGAATGTAATCACTGGTGCCAAAACCCGAACTCCAATAAATCTCCGATCATCAAACAATGCGGAAAAGAGCAAAAGTAAAAAGCTAGCAGCTCTGGGTCAACAAACAAATCAATCGTTCTTTTCCCTGTCAAAACAAAAACGTCCAACTTTTCGCAAGCTCGCCCCGGCAAATCTTTCTCGAATAAAAAAAAAGCACGTTCGAACTCGGCCAGAGAACGCAAACTACAGGTATATATGTGTGTACGCAAACTCACCAAGCAATTTCTTGACTTGCGACTGACTGACGAAGAGGTTGAGGTAGGCGTCGCCGTAGCCGGCGAAAAGTAGTAGAAGTAGCAGTGGAGGTAACAGCTTGCACGCCGACAACTGCATTGTCGCATCGCCAGCCCACCTCTCCGACCGTATAAGTTGAAAGAGAGAGAGAGAGAGAGAGAGTACCTCGAGATAACAAAGCTTCGTCTCAAGCTTTCTTGCCAAGAATACACAGACCGGCCGCGAAACGAAAGTTTTTCCAAGCTCTCGCCAGCTGATTTGCACTATAACTTGTTTCACGCTCGCTTTTCTTCTGTTTGCTTTTTCCTTTTCCTTCGACCTTCCTTGGTTAGGCTTGATCTCGTCGACCTCAGTTTCGGAATGTTTTCACGGCTGTTTTTGATTTGTCACTTTTAATTTGATTATTCAAGGCTGCGCTAATCAGCGATTTGACATAATTTCAGCGAGGCAAGTATCAAGCTGTCGAAGCACTAGATATCTGCTCGCCGTGGGCAATACATTTAAATCGTTCGCTTGCAAGGCAATCCGCTCCGTTTAAAAATCCATGTCACCAAGGCAATTCTTCAGGCGGAACAAGTGCAACAGCAGCACGTACTTGCCAGCATAAATCCGTTCATTTCTAGGAGCTCGCAATAAATCCTTCGCATCGGCAGCCAAGTCTCATCCATCAGAAATAAGGCAAAGAGAAGCGCCGAGGAAAGGCGGGCCGTCGGCAGAGGTTGCCGTCACGTGCGAACGTCAGCGACGAGATCAGCAGCACGGCAGTTCCGGACGGCCGAGCGCGAACTGCCGGCGCGCACGCTGTGCTGCAGCGGACTAGGGTTGAAGCGAGAGTCCCGAGAGAAAGTTGGCGCAGGCGCGTGTTCTATGTAGCTACACCCCTCCGTATGCGCGCACACCTACCGGTCGTGTGAGCGATGTGCGATGCAAACAACGGATTTCCGTATATAGGCTACACAGTGCGTACAGATTTTTAGAATTGAATGTTTCGGTATGTTCGGGTGATTGGTGAATGAAATGGAATTAGTCTCGAGAAGTATAAGTATCATCTCTACACGATCATATATTATTTACGTTCGTTTTACAACTTTCATCGATTATACTAACTGTATTTTAATATAGGCTTTAATTCGTTCTTGCAAAGAGTAAAGGATACATTGCAGGGTATATTTTTTCCTTTTTTGTCGATTGATGATCTGCGTGAGTTCATAACTTTCTTGCGCTTCTCTTTATGATTTATCAGCCACACATGATTAATTTCATTTGATATTTCATTTTGCACTTCGCATTGCAAAAATGTCGCTTTTTACAAATGGTTTTTACCTCTTGGCAAGGATCGCATAAGAAAGATCGCATAAATTGAACGTAGTATTCGATTTTAGATTGCACGTTGATATCTTTTTATCTGTCATAATAACATTCACGTTTTTTGCATTCCTTGAAACTGTCAAAGAAAAGTCAATAGAATATTTAGTTCAACTATGAAAGTTCCACTGAAAGAAGTGATCCGCTTAAAATAAGAGGACTATAATTTTGAGCACATCTTGCGATAAAAAGCAGTCATATATATCAAAAGGAATTCTTTCAAAAGGTTTCGGATTATTTTGAGAAGCTTTCTGCGGTAAAAGAATTGTTACACATTTTTATTTTAAGCATCCAAATTACTTGATAACAGTAGGAAACTCGTTAGGTATGAATACTTTTAGTACTAGATGAACGCCATTTAATGATTTTAATTAGATGAATAGCATCCAGATTTCGAACATTACATCACAAATTTTTATTCCTTAATTTACTTTTCAGATGAATTAATAATATGAGTATAACACTGAAAATATCATGATTTACGCAACTTGTCTTTGCACATATTAACACAGAGGAATGGAAAAGTTGGTACTTGATTATGTGAAATTTCACACACGATTACACCATGATATTCAAAATCGCCGGCAGTTCCATGACAATATTGAGTTCGATCGCCAGGCAAAGATCTCGAATCCACCACAGAGTTGGTCAAGTTTATTGGTAGAAAGCTTATTAATTTAGTGTTGGCACTTGTATCCGCATAAAAAGTGCGCAAACACAACGCAGAATTCATAGAATTCTCCCCTCGACTGTATCTGGACTTTCAATTGGATGCGAGGCGCAAACGCTCGCTTGCTCGCGACGCGTTGCTCGCATCGTCGCGCTCGAAAACGCTTGAATTTAATTAAATAGGACGGAGATACGCCCTCTCTCGCTCGATGCCTTGCGTCCCTTCGCATCAGGCGCTCGTGTCGTCCTTTATCTTCTCGGCCTTTGCGCTCCGTCGCTATCTCGCGCGACGCGCTCGCCGCAATAAGTAGCTCTAACCGTACCTGCACGAGAGCCCTTGCAAAATTGCTCCCTGTAAACATACTTTGACAAACAGCAAAATAAGTCGAACGAGAAGCAGGATTGGCTTTCGAAAGTCAGCTACGCGGGCGGGCAATTTGGTTGAACCATAAGTCCCATTTGCGGCACAGCCAATCACCCTCGCGCAAATCAAAAATTCCTCCGACGAGTCCTTTGCGTAAGCCGCCGTGTTCTTTATTCGTCCCCCAGTTCCGAAGTCACAAATTAACACCTACATCCGTCCCTAAAATACTCTCGACGATGCATAAATTTCCTCGCGAAAATCTCCCCCCATTCGAACTATACGCGCGCGCGATGACAGTCGACAAAGGGGCGTTTAATTAGAAGCGAGGGAACTAATTAACCCGATCGCGGATCGAACGGATGATCACGAAGCGCCGAAGGGATGTTCGTTGATTATTCTCGAGGCCTTTTTTTAAAGCTTCCTCGTGAAGTATGCGAGGATCGATAATCCGAGCATTAAACGCGGCGACGGAGTTTCTTTCCCTGGATTCGCTGCGGAAAGATGAGATGCGATTATTGTCGGCGGATCGCGCTTTAATTATTTGAGATTTCACGTTGCGGATAATGGGAGGGAAATTTGTCGATTCAGCGATTCCCACTTATTTAATCTGGATTATCGAAAAGATGCCGGAATGGAATTCTTGCTCGAGTGATAAATGCATATTCTCGAGATTTCAAATGGAGAACTGGACTCGAACGGCGCAATAAATTTTTTTCGTCGATTGGAAGGTCGATTAATTTAGTCAAGCTGCTGGGATGAGAATGACCGTTATCAGCGACAGTTCACTCGCTGCAATAATTCGCAAACATACCATAGGTATCGCGTATACAACCCAACCCAACCGCAGCGACAATGATACTTCTCCCGACAAACCTCGCTCTTACAAACAACAGCTCAAGCCGATAGAGTTCGATAGTCGATCGAGTAGTAAGAGGGGAAGACCTTTAGCGTATACTTAAAGAGGCACGTGCAGGCACAATATCGATCGGCCACCACCGCGTGCGATTCATTATTTAAAGATCGCCGTCCCTACGGCAGTATATATACTGTCAAGGGGAATCCAAGAGTAGAATCCGCGCAAAAACTAGATCGATGCGATGTGTTTTTTTCTTTGTATACGCGTTCGTCCGGCATCAACTAAATGATAGATCGAGACAACGTAGGGAGATTCACGCGCATTTTTATTTTGATGGAGTTTGTGCGGCAACTAGAAAAGCTTGTGCAACTGAACTTCGCCATTGACGATTTGTTGATTATGTTGACATTTCAGGTGTATTCTTTTGTTTTCGCCCGCGATTTAGAACTATCATTTTCTAGTTTATTAATTTATAATATCAGTTTCCATACGATTAAATGGTAAGGAAAAGAAATCGCTGTACAAAGAATATGGCTTGAACATTTATTTTCTCACAATGCAGAAGCAGTCACTTTTTATTTACAGCTTACCAATTCTGTAACAATAAATTATGTTTAGATTGCCAGCGCTATTCTTTAGTGAGAGCTATTAACTTTTTTACATGCGCGCTAGAATATATTCCGTGTGAATAAATGAGTGGCAAGTCTACAAATGTAAGTGTCAGGGAACCTCGCATGTGACAAGAGTTTTAATATTGATTGATATTTCGAAGATTTAAATAAATGGCACGTACAATTTACTGTATCGATCTCGCGCGCGCTTTCTTCTATTATACTTTGGACGATAATCTTTTTTTACTTGCGGAAGCTACTTTGCCTAAAATTTAATCTGTTTACTTGCGTCGAATTCGTACACATCATCTGCTTTCAAATAACACAATAGTGCCTTTCAAAATATGCAAAGATTTTTCCAAAAATCTCTCGATGAAGAAGACCAGAATTGAAAGAGACGAAACTGAACTTATTAATGGGTTTTCCTTAACAGTCTCGCAACAGCAGCGCCAAGCAAAGAGAGATCGATCGTCGTTTCCTAGCTAAATGATCGATTTGAGAAGGCTAAGCGACTTTCCCGTTTCCATTATTAACTTGCCGCGCTACGGGAGAGCAGCCCGTGAAACTCGTCGAATCTAACGAAGCTTATCGGCCCCAAACCCAACCCTCCTTCCTTTCTTCCTTCTTTGATCCACGAGCGCGTTTCTGTCGTTGTTAGCCTCTCGATTTGACGCGATCGTTTCGCAAATGTCGGGACGCTGCTTTACGTGTCTCTTTTGCGTCGCTTGTTCATTTGTGTTGTCGACTCTTTTTCTTTGCTCTATCTCGCTTTTTCTCTGCCGTGGGACGAGTGATGTCTAACGTAATGCGCTATATTGAAAATGTTCATGGGTGAAAATGCAATAATGCGAACATAAATGATTTCCGGTGTCCCAAATAATGGACATTTCATATGGCATAAAGTAACGCTGGCGGCAGTTATATGGCGATATTTGATGAATTATTTCCGAATGTTTCCAGCGGAACTTGACTATTCTTTACGCTTCGTGCGATATAAAATGAGCGTTAAGATCCACGATTACAAATGATTGTTTGTTAATCGTTGTTTCATTAATCGCTAACATTGAAAATGTTCTGTTTCGCAAGGATAACATCGAGATATCCATTTGGAAAATAAAAGAGCATCAGTGCGTAAAACTTTATCATGCGTTATGATTAATTTTCGACGATCACGAACTAAACTACCGTGAGGAATTACTCTGTTGGAACGACACCGTTGGCGCGTTGCGGAAAGCGCGCGGGTGCGAGCGCAATACCCTGTAAATCGCCGAAAGAGCATCGCCAGCCGACGAGAATCGTCATTATGATTCACGCTATGCGCTATCGACGCGGAGCTGATCATCGGTAGAATTTGCAATGGGAACGTTTATTTTCTCATCTGTGTACTGGTTCTCTCCATTCAATTGAAAACGTATCGAAATTGGATATCAATTGCAAATTGAATTCCGCTTTTACCATCGGTCTTTACTTACATTTTTCGAATTATTTTACATGGACGTTTTTTAAAAATTCTAAATTGCGGATGAAACGTTAATAAATACAAAAAATATATATTCGTATATTTTTTCTTTTCATTACGTTCACGTAAATACAGTATGATTGGCAAGTAGTACGCTCATCTTCTCTTGTGGCAATAAATCCAATTAACTTTAAAGATGAAACCTAAAAATTAAGTATTAACTCTAAATATTCAGTATGTAAACTTTAATTTCACGATATATCTTCATGAATTCGAAGAAAATACCTACAACTAAGGATATAAACTATACAGTTTAGAATATGTACTGAATGTTAAAGTATATTCTAGCGGATTTAGAATAAAATGTGGTTCTGATTAATTGAGTATTTATTCTTTAAGCAAACACTAAATTTATTTATTGTAAAGATTGACATAAAAAC